GAACTTTCAGTTGGTGGGAGGGGGGTGGGGGGGGGGGGGGGTGGGCCGTTCCTCCACACCAAAGGCTCCAATGACAATACCATGTGGAGCCCTGCGGGTCTGAAGGTCTAGCCAGTCTAAACCCAAGGTCAATTAACCGAGGGGGGAGGGGTTCCCTAAATAGACGGCTTGGATTTATTGTTCATTTTGTGTGTATCTTGGTTGAGGGTACCCGTTTTGGGGTCACAAGGACACCAGAGAAAAAGAACGGTTCAAAGCCAGAGGCACCTCCCTCCGCGGGTCCGCACCAGCCATTGCCCCTCTCTTTTCCAAAGTGATCCCCAGGCAACGGGGCAACAACCACATGTTCGACACTCATTGAATGACATCTGCCTTTGATTTTACCCGGAAAAAAACAGAACACCAAAAAAGGGAAGCCACTGGCCAATCATTCTTTCCGTTTTGCCGAAGCGCGAAAATCGGGCTCCCTCCAAAAAAAACGGCACGTCCAACTTTCGAAGCGACGGTTGTCGCTCTTTTGCGAGGACCTGCGCCAATACTTCCAGAGGGCATCGGACCCCCCGCGCCTTTCGGTGGGAGCCCCAGATGGATCTTTTGGGGTTTAGTCTCCTCCAAAATGAGAGTTTTTGTTTGATATATATATATATATAATTTTATGTGCATATATTTGGGGTAGGCCAAGTGTGTTTTTCTTCTTTTGAAGGTTGAAACCCCCCTCCTCCAAAACTATGTTGTATTTTGGGGTAGGCTAGCCTCTCTGCCACTTTGCAATGGCACCCGAAAGTCCCTTAAAGAGGAAGTTGATCTTCCAGGTACCCTCCCAATGCTATGTCAGAGGAAGGCTAAGCGGGTGGCTGGCCTTTTTCAGGTTGAACCCCTCAAAATGGAGCCCAAAATGGCGCATCGGTTTTCCTTTTGGTTTTCCTTTAGACCGACCAAACGGGGGTATACCCTCAAAAAAGACCCCCCCCCCCCCAGTATGGAGCAGAGTCACAAGATATTATTTTCTGTCCCAGATGTGCCCTCTCTCTGTGGGTTGGAAGACGGGTCAGTTTACCCCGTGGGGCGGGTTTCCCTTCAAAATCAACCAAACACAGGTGTCCCCCTTCCAGAGGGACAAGCTCTTGCGCCTTGCTTCGTGTTCCCTGCATTCACCTTGGGCGGTTTGGAGAAACACTTGTTGGAAAGGCCGATCGATTTTTGGAACACACATTTTGGGTTGGTGATATTAGCTTAGAAGCAGGGTTGGAACTTTGGCCCCAAATGCAAAAGCAGATTGGCCTGGCGAGACTTTCAAGTTTGTCTTGAGAGGAGTCCTCTGGGTCCCTCACATAGCTGGGGGAGTACTTGAAGCATAGATTTGGGATCTCCAAATAGGTGTAGCCCCAAGATGGCATCGGTTTTCCTTTTGGTTTCCCTTTGAACCAACCCCAGGGGGCTTTTGAAAGTCTGCCAGTGCCAGTAGTGAGGGCCTCTTTGGCCCCAGAGGTCCAAGTCGGAAGAGAAGTGGTCCAGGCCGTCGATTTGGGTGTCTCGTTTTCTAGGGTACCCTCCAAAATGGGCGATTTCAACGGCGTTTTTCCTCTTGGTTCCCTTGCAAACCGCGCAAACGAGGTACCGACTCAAGAAAAGATGGACCCGTTTGGGAGGGACATGGGGGCGCTCACAGTTCCTTTCCACAGCCGCTGGGACGGAACCCCCCAAGCAAACACTTTTTTCCAATGTCCATTGAGTTGTTGAGGGGTTTCTCACCTCGGACTGTGGCAACCACTTGGTAGCCCAGGGCTCCGTTCCTGCTTGCCCCCTTGATGGTTTTAACCATCACCTGTTGGCTGCCGATTTCAAGTAATCTCTATGATCCGTTTTTTGAAAATGCAGAAGCAACATTGCAGATGATGACCAAGGAATGATTCTAGGCGTTGATTCCTTGTCCATGCTTTTCGACCATCGTTCTTTTCAAAAACCAGCTATTTCGCCTGGGGTTCTGATGGTTTTCTGAAAAGAAGGATCCTGAAAAGAATGGGGACGTGTCCCCTAAAATGGTCCGTTTTTGAAAATGCAGAAGCAATATTGCAGATGATGACCCTAGGAACGCCGTATTTGGGGATTCCATGTTTGGTTGTTTTGAAGGGAATTCAACGAGCAAACATGCATGTTTGGAATTCCCCGTGGGGTTTCTCAAAATGGTGGACCCTGTTGGTTTGTTTTGAAAGGGAAGCAGGAAAACCAATTTGAGAACACCCGACGCGACCGGGCCCGACCGGGTCCTAGGCACACAGCAAGACGGCTGCAGGGAAGGCGGGAGGGAGTCGAGCACACCCATGTGGGCAGAATGGTAATTACATGTGCATATATGCATATACACAGATCATCATAGTTATACATATATGTAATATATACATATATATATATATATATTATACATATATATATATATATTATACATATATATATATATATTATAGACATACACAGATCATCATAGTTACATAGGGACAAATTTGTTTGATCACACACGCACACATCTATGTATGTATGTGTGAGAACAGACATATTTATAGTATCACACATCAACTAATACACTGTTTTTGCAAACATCGGTGGCTGTGCCGTTCAAGTTGCTAGGACGCGATCGGCTTAGGGAACCCAACGGCTGTGCTACTGATTTCGAGATGAGTCCTGTATGGTCGCAGGTTGTAGTCATTGGTTCCATTTGAGCTAAAACACCGGGTCTTCCCTCTGGTTCCTAAGACCAGAACTCCAAGTTACTTTGTGTTTGTGACAAATCGGGGTGTCTGACTGTAGGCGCTTCCGGATTGCCAGGGAAGTTCGCCACTTGGGGGGCTAACCGGGGGCTATACGGAGCCAAAGAGGGCGCCACCAAACCGACTAAGAGGAAGCTGAACCACTTTTGCTTGCTGCTTTTCCAGGAAAATTCGGAAACGGACATGGTCATGTCAGCTTCAGGGGTCGGCCTCAAATTCCTTCGGATTCTCAGCCCCTGATCCCCTCGGACGTGATCCCCGACTTCTCCTACGGCAGGAAGGCGCTCGATCCGAATCCGAAGCCGGTTCCGGTATCCAACGTGCGGGTCATGTTAACGGCGAAGCAAAGGAGACCCCCACCTCCACCCTCCCCCCCCCTCTCACATTTTTGGGGCTCCCCTATTTTTTTAAGACCACCCCAAATGTTGATTGGGGAGTTGGATTGAACTGCATAAACCAGTTTGTGTGTGGATGGGGTGCATTCGTTCATGCGGGGAACAGATCAGAGGGAAACCAAAGGGGACCCCCGCATGCTTTCTTTCTTTTGCGGGGAGGGGTCCCCTATTTTAGGACACACCCAAATGTCTATTTGGAGCTTGTCTGGAGTGTTGTGTGCCTAGCTCTGATTCACAATTGGGGCGCTTGATTTGAAGTTGCTGCTTCGTCCACGGCCATTCCCAGGCCTGTTTCCCCGGTCATGGGCCGGTGTCAGGTGTGGGGGCCAGCAAGCAATTCGGACCCCCCCCCCAAGCCCCCAAATCCCATGGATCCTTTTCAACCAGTGCCCAACCCTCGGCAAAGTTTGACCTTTCCCCCAAAAGCCATGGCCGAAAAGCGCGGGGGCAATCCCACAGTTGACACTCACTCAACGTTCAGAAGAGGTGCTTTCCATTTGGGTGGTTTAAACCTTACCTTTTGATGGCCAATTGTAGTGATTGAACATGTGACGCGCCTCAGGGCACGCTTCAAAGAACAGGACACACCGACCTGTTGGTCGTCGGTTCTACCAGCAGGCAGCAGAGAATGAGGGAATGCCCCGGCCCTTTGTGGTTTCCTTCAAGGAGATCCTCGCATTCACTTCCAGAAGCCCGAAGTTGATTCAGGAAACGGGGCAAATGCCCACCAAAAGAAAGGATTTCCTATAGAGCTTCACCTTTTTTGCTGGCTTCTTGGACCAGCAAGCCGACAACTGAAGCTCCGTGTCGACTCTGCGCGCAAAAACCGAAGCCGCTTCGCTTCCCCGGAGAAATGTTGTGGGGATTTGGGTGAGGTGAGACCGTCCACGCCCATCAAGGAGGCAGGAACCTGCCTGCGGGAGCCCGACATGGGGGTGGAGTATCCAAAGGGTCTCATTTATTTTGTTAAAAAAACAACAACAAACAAACATATGTTTCCTCTTTTTTTGGGGGGGAAATGGAGGGATGATTCTAAGGGGTTCTCTCCATTTCCCTCGGAATCTCCAAAAGTGTCGATCGTGTCAATGGAAACCACCAGTAAATTGATCATCTTTTGAAGGGCAGATCCAGTGACGCCTCTTGCAGGGTTCAGGCCTTCTCTTTTGGCTGAACGTTTGTGGAACCTTTGAGGTATCCTCTTGTGGTATGAGTTGAGACAAGGAAGCCCAAAGAACACCTACCTGTAGGACGTTCCCGATTTTGAAAAGCACGCAAGTTGGTTGGCGCGTCTCAAGCCCATGTGGCCAGTGTCCCCCCAAAAAAGAGGGCCCTTTTGAACAGACTTAAACTTGCTGCCGGTGAAAAGATGTCTTTGAGAAGTGGCTTTTCTTGTCTCATGGTCAGGACATTACTCACTCCCAGAAATTTGAATTTACATGTGCCGCAAAATCAAGCACGCCAGTGGTGTAGAGGGTATTGGTCTGCCCTGGGTGGTTGGAACATGGAACCCTGCCCCCAGCATCCTAGCACCCTTGCAGCGCAAACACGCTGCGAGACACTGCGACACACCACAGCACATTGACACAACGACTTGCCGGAAAACACGGCATCGTATGTTATCACATTTCAACATGTCAGAAGATGCACTGGTCGTTATTATTTTTGACACTCTTTGGGTGGCTTCAACTGGGCAACCAGTTCTGGATCCATGGATGTACCTCCCCCATCGCGAGACTTAGCACACCACACCAAAACCACTTCATTAAAAAAAAGCAACACACACACACAGCAGACCGCAACCGACCGCATACCGCGTCCCCCGGCACCACGGCCTTTGGTCATGGCCGCGCGGCGGCAGCGGAAGCTGCTGGGATTCGGGCCTCGCTGGCAGGCGGGCTGTTGTGACCCGAGTCTACGAGAACAAACCCCCCCAAACCACAGGAAGAATGTGGCATGTAAGTAACCCTTACATTATGGTTGTACGGTGGTTGCATCCGCTAAGAAAACCGCTAGAGTTGACCAGGGTTTGACGTGCTTCTTAACCGTCATGTCAGGAAACCGGGTCTGGAAAGCATATCCGATTTTGCAAGTTCATTAGAGCACCCGACTGAACGCCTGTTTCGTATTCTTGCTCAGTGAGCGGAAGCGCGAGAGAGGGACAGTGCGGAGCAAAACGCAGGCAGCCATTTCTTTTCTTTTTTTTGATGTGTCTCAATCTGCAATCCTTGGTATTCTACGCTGTTCAGCACCCGGGCACCTAAAATATGTGGAGTGTCATCAAGCTCATGGTGTGTTTTCAGCACTCTGGTAAGACAGTCCTAGTATGGTAATAATCAGATTCATGAACCATACCTGCTGCCGTTCGGTCGTGGCTCAAACTCCCATTTCAAAGTCACATTGTTTTCCGATTCCAGAACCGGCTTGGGAGTTGCCAAGATTGGTTAGTCCTTGGTGATTTTCCCTAAGAACCCTTTTGTGTCAGCAACCCTCAGCAATCAGAATGTTAGTCCACATCCAATTTATCACCCCAGCTGGAGATGCATTTTTGTTCTGTCATCATCACCTCTTAGCCTCTTGAATCTTGTCTAAAACACATCCCCAGCTAAACTGGTGTCTTTTTAGGACGCTACCCCTTTTTGGCCTGTAAAGGGAAACCATTTGAGTAGCACCGTTACGCCTTTTTGGGGTGTACCTTATAAAGGTGCCGAACTTCTCAGGGTTTCACTTCTTGCGCCCAAGACAGACGCAGAAACCCAGGGCTCCGTTGCCCTTTTGGGGCTCACGACGTATTTTTTCGGGTTTCGGGGCGTCTGAGGCCCCATCAATCCATGTGGAACCCTGCCCTTGGCCCTGGCTTTGACGTGGATACCCTCCATATCGCCAGAGCGCTGATCCCACGGAGTCGCTGACGCGAGCGCCGGGAGTCCCAGATACGCCGCGGGTGGTCCAAAAGGCGAGGGTGTCGAGTAGCCGTGCTGCATCGTGTTGCCGTTGGTTTGCACCTTTTTGGGTTCCTTTGTTGTTTGGTTTGTGCAAGCCCGTTCATTGTAGGTAAGGGAGACACCCTTCAAAAGCAAAACCAAGAAATGAGCAACTGACAAAATTACTGGCAGTGCCAGCTCAAATTGCAACCACAAGAAACAGGTGTAAAGACATCCAGTTGGCGCCTCGCAAGGTTTGTCCTCGCCTAAGCTGGAAAGCTACGCGTCAAACCTCCCTGGGGTTTGAACATATGTGGCCGGCTCAAAAGTAGGGATCCGACATGGAACTCTGGCAAACGGAAAGACGAACACCGAGGTCCTAGCTCCGATCACATCGCTCGACCCACATGTAATCAGAATGCAACCCATTTTTTACCCTCTTGTCCATTGACATGGAACACCAGAGGCTGTCACAGGAGTGTAGTTTTCCACCCCGAAAGGGCGTGCGGGCGGGGGTGCAGGCGTGGGTGGTGAGTGTGTGAGTGTGGGTGTGTGGACGTTGCATGTGCATGTGCGTGTTGTTTTTGCATGTCAAAACATACCTTAGTCAATGTTTGGTTTCATTGCGATTCTTTTCAAAGGAATCCGTTCATTTTGACACACTCACACAGAGCTGCTAGATCACTCCTTTCCACATGGCCAGCTGAGTCGAGTCCTCGTGAAACGAGGCATGAGGTGGAGCAAGCCTTGCAGAACTTGAAGGAGGCGACGTGTAGAATGTCTGTCCCCATACCCCTTGCTGTTTGCGAGTGGGATTTGAAGCCAAGGTCCTTGCGGAAGATAGATACACCCAAATCCCAGCCGCCTTCGGGGAATGTTGAGGGAGAACACGAGATCTCCATTTGGATCAGAATGCGACCCCTCTGTCTCCGTTAAAAAGCCATAGCCCTGCTTCAAAGGGACGGGTATGCTTCCCCTGGGGGCTTCCTGACTCCAAATGGAACTTGGGACCTTCCGGAATTTCAGGTCCGACTTCCCCTGGCTCTCAATGAGGGAATGCCCCCATCAATGTTTCCATCCCTTGTGGTTTCAGGGCCCTGGATTCATGCCCAAAACCCCTAGATATCACCATCTGCGAGGGTGGTGAAAGATCGGCCGGAGAGTTTGAAAGAGAAACCCCAGCCTCAGAAATTACCCCAAGGAAGCACCCCTAAACCGGTGCCTCTGTGGTCAAGCACCTGTATGTCCCTGGCTTTTGAGGCATTCCGTTGTCATTTTCTAGAAATGTCCAAAGCGGACCGCATTCTGGTTGTGTAGTTCGGGCCGTTCGGGTTTTGGGGGAGGCCCGGGCACTCAAGATCTTCCTGCTTCCGTACGGGGCACTCCAGATATTCCTGCTTCCGTATGTTCTTGCTTGCTGGCTTTTGCCCTTTTGTCAGTTTCCCCCTGATTGGTCATTTGGATTGGTGCTTTGGTGGTTAGGGAGGCTGATCTTGGGTTTCATTCACATGTTCCTTGTTCTTCACTTTTCTCTAGGCGCCGGGGTGTGAACATCTTGAAGTGGTTGGACAAAGAAACAGCTTCAAGAACTGGTTGAACATCTGTGGTTGAACATCTTGAGTGAGTGATTTTCGAATTTCCCCCCGGCTCTTCGGAAGGAAGGTGCCTGTGGCCATTCTACGGCTGGGATGTTCCGGGTTCGCCTCGCCAGGTCTGCCAGCAGCAGAAGGTCCAGCGGCACGGGCAGGCGGAGTGCGGGGGGCCCAAAAACGGGCGCCGTGGGGCCGGGGGGGCGGGGAGGGGCGGGGAGGGGGGGGGCACTGTAAGTGCCCCAAGAACAGACATATCCAGGTGACCGCGGGAGGGAGCCCGCCGAAAGTTTGAAAGCTGCGAGTTGTTAGAGGTTGGAAGGGCATGGGAACATTTCGTCCGCCCATTTTCGGGATCCTCGATTTAGAGACCAGAAAGTGGGTGCATTGCCTTAGTCCCCTTGAAAACAGGGTTGCTTCGCACCGTTCCTGGAAGAGGATCCAAGTTTCCGATTAGATTGTTACCAACCAAGTTTCTACCCTTGTGCCGAGCTCGAATGGGAGCCTCTGTTTTGTTGGTGGATTCTCCACTTCAACTGTCCTTTAGCTGGTGGCCCTCACAAAGGGCTCCTTTTGCTGCCAATGTCTCCACATCCAGGTAGCCCCAGTTGCCAGTTACCCCAGTTATCCCAGGTAGCCCCCATTTATCCCAGGTAGCCCCCAGTTACCCAACAATTACCCAGTTGCCCCCAGTTCTCCTCCCCAGCCACCCCCTCGGGTCACCTCTGCCTGAGGCGCTGCGGAGCTCGGCGAGGCGATTCGCCTCACCAGGCGCCGAGCTCGGCCGAGCTCGGAGATGCTGACGCCGGGGGGGGTGGGTGGGTGGGAGTTTTCAACTCGGGGGGTTCCAGAGGATTGGTTTCGGAGGTTTGTTGGGGAGGTTTGGTTGGTGTTTTATTTTATTTTTTTGGGGTGGGTGGGTTGGTTTTCGGTTGTTTGAGGAGGTTTGATTGGCGTCTTTGTGTTTCTTGTTGGTGTTGTTTGGCTTGCCTTGTTTTTGGTTTTCCTCAAGTTCCCTCGGAGGTTGGGTTTCTGTCCGTTGTCAGTTTCCCTTCTGTTCCCAAAGTAGGCAGTTTTCTTACTGACACTTGGGATCTAGGTGCGCTTTTCCAAGCATTCCTTAACAGGGTCCCTATATTTCCTTTGTTGGTGGTTTTTAAACATCACCTTTGAGGTTCTGGGTGGTTTGGTTTCAGCCTGCAACGCCTTGCATTGTTTTAGTCGCACCGCCGCATCGGGTTTTGCGAGTTTCGGAGCTCGTGTTCCTCTTAACAAAACGCCTGATTTCAGGAGCAAGTGAGATGGTGCCTGGCCCCCCCCCCCCCCCCACCAACAAGCAACAACCAAGCAACAGTTTTTTGAAAGGGAGACTCCTCTGCGCATAGATCTGTTTGTGTCTTGGGTTCCTTCTGTTGATTTTCAGGGCTTCATGTTTGTTTCTTCGGTCTTCCTGGCTGGCGCCTGGCTTGCTGGTTTTCAAGGTGAGGGGCGCTTTCTTCCCCTTTAGATCTGAGCATGCAAGGTTCAAACCCCCAAATGACCAATTCGGAGTAAGGTGATTTGTCGTTTTAGGTTTGTTTTCGTTCTGTTCATGTTGCGTGGCTCCAAAAGAAGCATCACCACCATTGCTCATGCGTTAAAAGTTACCTTCGATTGGGTTGGGAGGGGGGAGCAACCATGGAGTCCGCATCCTCGCCAAGGCTTCCTCTAGAAGAAGCCGAAAACAGCAAAGCCGCAATTCGGTCTGACCCGAGCAGTTCTCCCAGCTTTACAAAACAGCCCCCGAGACACGGGTACTGCCCTGAAAATCAACCGAAGGAACCCAACAGAAAACCAGAGGCCCAGAGTCTCCCTTTGTTTTGGTGGGGTACCAATGGCAGCTCCTTGAGCAAGTGCCTTTGAAACCAGCCCTCTTTTGAACCATCTTATCCCTTCTCCCCCTCAGCAAGTCCCTACTGGGTGCTAAATCCCAAGAAGGCAGCAGGAGATGGATGATGTGCTCTAAAATATATTGAAAGGAAGCCCACAATGAAAAGAAAACAAGGACACCACGCAATGAAAAAAAGGACGCCGAGACAGGAAAGCAAAGCAAGGACACCAAGAAAGGACGCCAAAACCCGGAAAACCACCCCCCCACGCTGCTCCGTTGACCGATTCGCCCCCAAAACCCCACCCCAAGCCAGCGAGCCCCTTCAGTTCCTTCAGCTAGGCGCCGGGGCCAAGCCGTGGAGTCCTTCGGCCGCCGCGAGGAAGTCGCGAGTTCTTTTGAGGGTACCCCGTTCAGGTTGTTTGGTATTCCAAAACTGGGAATCACAGCCAACAGTACTTGGATTTTGTGTGGAAGGTCAAACGTACCTCAGCTTTTGCCCGGCCCAATACTGACACGCTCGATTCTCGCCCATTCGTGAACCAAATGAACCTGGAACTGGGTTTTGCCCTTGAACCACAAAAAGCCAAACGAAAATCAACGGCATCCCCGTGCCAGACTTAGACCCCCTGCGAAGGGTTAACAACTTCTTGCTGGTCAGAGACATTCGGAAGGAAATGAAAAGTCCAAAGCCCAGGGGCCATAGGAGCCGGTGTATTCCGGAAGGCTTTTCCAAGCCCAAGGCTGATCATGTGGACAGGACTTGAACTCACCACGTGTGTCCTTAGGCAGTGGTTGGTCGCCAAGCTCTCGAAACTCCTTTGAAGTGCCTGAAACGAGCTTGGGGAGGGATCAAACCCAGTTGGACCCGTGTTTGCGGGGGGGGGGGGATTTTGTCGAGAGAAAGAACCTTGCCTGGGCTTGTTTGGGCATCAACAGTGAACAGTTGAACCGTTCGCACATTTTTGTTTGGGTGGTTTCCCTTTCGACCACCATCTAGAGAGCAATTTTGCGAACCCCCCGCAAAAGGCTCTGGTTCTGTCCCGTTTCCCTTGAAAGGACTGGCCAAGATTGTAAATGGGAGGGATCCCCTTTTCCAGTTGTTCAGTGGTACTCTTCTTCCCTTCGGTTGGCAGGCTTTCTACTGAAATGACACCAAAAACAGGGAAAGCAATCGTTTTCTTTTCGGGGGTTTCAATGTCGTTGGGTTCCTTAGAAGCTGTCCGGCGAACGTCCCGTTTCGTTTTGACCAGCCAGTTTTGCGTTCCTTTCAACCGCCAGATTGGTGGTTTCCCTAGGAGACACGCCCGAGCCATGAGCGTGTTTTCGTTCCAGAAGCCATTTAAAGGGCTCCATTTGGCAACAGCAGGCTCACTATACACTGAACATGGGTGTGTCTGTTTTTTAGATTTGGATAATGGGGCAGCAACTCAAGAAACACGCAAACGACGCCCCACAACGAGATGGTTCTAGTTCTTGTTTACCTTTCGGGCCTCTGGGCAGCTGTGACTAGCAAAGTCGTTTCGGGGGTCGTTTTCCTTTGCTCTAGCTCTATCACTGGGGCAACTTGGACATTGGTATACTAAGTGGCCACAGCCGAAGCCACGGATCACTCGGAAAGATGGACGCTGGGTTTCAGATTCTAGATGCCCTTCCCTCACTCGGGATGCTTCTTTGCAGCAACCCTTCAAGCTACTTGTCCTCACTTCCAGAGTTCCTGGACTTTAAAATTCTTGGGACGACCATTTCAGTGGCAAGCACAAAGATCGGACTTTCTTGGCGAGTTTTAGGAATCCTTCTTTTCAGGAACCCATCCAAGTGGGCGTTGTTTTTGGGGGGGACCCCTCCAAAATGGTGGTGTTCTTTTGGTTTCCCTTTAACCCTCCCCCCCCCCCAAACAACGACGGGTCCAAGTAGCGCCTTTGCATCGCCAAACTCTTCGAACGTGTCGCGAACGCGTCGCGAACGCGTCGAAAGGACGGCCAGTGGCTCTTGGAGTTGGAGGAGGCGCAGCTCGGCGCAACCGAGATGATCTGGAGAGGTGTGGAACCGATTCGGTCGACTGGGTGCTAGGGAGCCGGACTCGGAGCTAAAAGCATCCAAATCTTCTTCTAAAGAGGCAGCCTTTCGGAGCTTCCAGGAGTTCTGGAAGGACTGATTCGGGTGGCTCGTCTTGTGAGTGGACCCCTTGTTTGGTGGTTTTGTGGGTCCAATAGGAAAAGACACACCCGAATGGAAGCCGAACCAGATCAACTTGGGTGTGTTTCGAGAAGAGTGGCTTGCAGAAACATTTGTTGGACACACTGAGGTGTTCAGCATGAGTGGTTTGCAGAACCTAATTTGAGCCATTGTTTCATCCGCCGAGGGGAACAGGGAGCCTCCAACCGGGAATCGACGCTGCAAACTCTTGAGGGGAGCTCGGGCAGGTGCATATGGGCGCGATTTCAATGGGGGACCCTTTGGTGGACGTCATTTGGGTGGGGATTCATCTCATCCAACCAATTTTGAAGTCGTTCCGACTCTTAAGATGCATGGCCATATCTAGAGAAGTTGTCAAAGGGACACCTCAGGGGGCGTGTCAAGAGCAACCCCCTCTTTTGAGGGGATGACCCCTCTTTCACATGAATCAGAGAACAAAGGTGCGTTTGACAGCCTAACGCATTGAGCGACTCGCGAGGTTTACACGGGGTGTAGGACCCGCACCTCAGTGGGTCAGATATGTCCCAAGGGGTCGATGACTCTCGCCCCAAAGAGTTGGGGACTTTTGCGCCCGTGCCACATGGAGGGAGGTCCAGTTCGGGTTCAATTGTGTTCTCCCAAAGACTGGAAGACTTCAAACCTGCTTGGACATGAAGCCTTGGTTTTTCCAGAGCTGGAAGCGAACGAAGAAACTGGCTGCCAAAGTTGGGAACGAAGGTTGAGGTGGCCTCAGGTTTTGGTTAGGCCTTCCGCTCCAACCCCAAGAAAAAGATTAGTGGACTCCCTCAAAGAAAAGTCGAAAGTTGCTTGGATGAATCGGGGCTTGTTTCCACCCCAAGAAAGTCAACCATATTATTTTTCTGGCTTTTGGTCAACAATTGTGAAACTCGTGTCCTCCCATGATGCAGTTTGCCCTGAAAGCATAGGTGTCCTTTTTGGGTTAGTTTGGTTAGAAATAGATGGGTTCCACTGGTTTAGATTGGTTTCATGCCATCCATCTACCAGGCAAAATCACTCAGATTTTTCCAACATGTCACCTCCAAGCCTCCAAGAGATTCGCTTTATGCCATTCATCTACCACGATCCATTCAGATTTGGCCATGGGTCAAAATCCAAATCGTACCCCCAGCGCACATCCCAATCCCCACTAGAATAGGAAGCCTAAAATGGGTGGTGAATTCACCTACCCCAAAATGGGATCCCAAAACGACCACCCACAGCCATTTGTCCATGCCAAGATCGGTATCTCAGGCTCTACCTGGCCGAGCGCGGCAGCCTGGAAGCCCAAGCCCTGGAAGCGCGGGCCCTGGGTAGGTGGTGGTTTTGGTGGAAAAATCCGAGGGCGGATTTTTCTGGTTGACCTGGTGATTTCATCATCTAGGGAAACCCATCTAGTTGCCCCAAAAAGGACACCTATGTCCAAAACGTGGTGGACACCAAACCTCGGGGTTTGGTTACCACCATTAGACACGGTTGGGTTCGTAGAACCATTGCTGGATTAAGGATCATCATGCAATTTGGATCTTGACCTTTCTTTTGATGGGGGCAAGGAACCCTAGGTTCGGCATTGCCAAACACTTTGGATTGTTTACTTCCCAAAAGCAACGTAGATATCATTGTTTTTGGTCTCTTTGTCCTACAGGAGCAGTCATTGGTTTTGTGCACACCCCCTTGCCGACTACGTTCCGTTTCTGTGCACTTTACACAGAAGTGTGAGATTCAACAGGGGTTGCTCCATGGCCTTTGCAGAAGGGTCGAATCCGTGGAACATTGGTAAGCCTAGCCTTGTATGCACGTGTTTTTGTTTTCTTCTTTTTTTCTGTTCTTTTTGGAGGTCGGTGTCCTTGGGGGTGGTGCGTTTTTGTTGAAAGCCGAAGGGACCAGCCGCTTTGGGCTCCGCTGTGGCGTTGGCGTTACTCACAGGCCGAGGCGTCTTCGGAGCCCGCAGGCCGTGGCCAACTTGGCGCGGGTCGTGTCTTGAAAAGGGGGCGGGACCCCCAAAGCGGTTCTTGTGTTCGTATGGTTTCCCTTTAAGCCAACCCCGAAAAGAGTGTATTTCAATAAAGGACATATGTGATTTGTTGAAAAGCAACATTTTTTCCATTGACGCTTTACTTCTTCTTTTTTTTAAAAGGTTTTGTGGCTCTTTGGGGGGGGGTTGTCGGAAGATGACTCTCCAAATGATGGAAGGACGTAATACGCTTGCATCCTTCTAGTTGCAGCGAATCTAAACGCTTTGGTTTCATGCTGGCAAACTGACCAAAGGTCAAGACTAGGTTCCAAATTTATATGGTTCTGCGCGGTCTTGTCTTTTTTTTGGTTTGCCTTTCTTTGCCGTGCTTTGCTTGTCTTTGACTTGCCTTGCCTTGTTTTCTTGATTGCTTGATTGCTTGTTTGCTTGTTTGCTTGTTTGCTTGTTTGCTTGTTTGCTTGTTTGCTTGCTTGCTTGCTTGCTTGCTTGCTTGCTTGCTTGCTTGCTTGCTTGCTTGCTTGCTTGCTTGTTGTTGTTTTTTTGCTGTGTGTTGGCTTTTTTCCCCCATTTGTTCTTTGTTGTCTTTTTGTCTCTCGTCTTTTGAATATCGTTTGGTGTTGCATGTCTGTTTACTTTAGAGCCTCCGGCTCAGTCCGCCGACATTGTCCTCTCCCTTTTCTCCTTCTTCCTCTCTTCCTTGTCTCCCTCGTGTGTTCTGTCGTCCTCCCTCCCTCCCTCTGCTCCCATCCTCCCCATCCCCCCAAGCCTCTCTCTCCCCACTCTCCCTCTCTCGTATGTATGCATGCATGTACATATGTATGTATGTATGTATGTATGTATGTATGTATGTATGTATGTATATGTATGTATGTATGTATGTATGTATGTATGTATGTATGTATGTATGTATGTATGTATGTAATGTAATGTATGTATGTATGTATGTATGTATGTATGTATGTATGTATGTATGTATGTATGTATGTATGTATGTATGTATGTATGTATGTATGTATGTATGTATGTATGTATGTATGTATGTATGTATGTATGTATGTATGTATGTATGTATATGTATGTATGTATGTATGTATGTATGTATGTATGTATGTATGTATGTATGTATATGTATGTATGTATGTATGTATGTATGTATGTATGTATGTATGTATGTATGTATGTATGTATGTATGTATGTATGTATGTATGTATGTATGTATGTATGTATGTATGTATGTAATGTATGTATGTAATGTAATGTATGTATGTATGTATGTATGTAATGTATGTATGTATGTATGTATGTATGTATGTAATGTAATGTATGTAATGTAATGTATGTATGTATGTATGTATGTATGTATGTATGTATGTATGTATGTATGTATGTATGTATGTATGTATGTATGTATGTATGTATGTATGTATGTATGTATGTATGTATGTATGTATGTATGTATGTATGTATGTATGTATGTATGTATGTATGTATGTATGTATGTATGTATGTATGTATGTATGTATGTATGTATGTATGTAATGTATGTATGTATGTATGTATGTATGTATGTATGTATGTATGTATGTATGTATGTAATGTAATGTATGTATGTATGTATGTATGTATGTATGTATGTATGTATGTATGTATGTATGTATGTATGTATGTATGTATGTATGTATGTATGTATGTATGTATGTATGTATGTATGTATGTATGTATGTATGTATGTATGTATGTATGTATGTATGTATGTATGTATGTATGTATGTATGTATGTATGTATGTATGTATGTATGTATGTATGTATGTATGTATGTATGTATGTATGTATGTATGTATGTATGTATGTATGTATGTATGTGTATGTATGTATGTATGTATGTATGTATGTATGTATGTATGTATGTATGTATGTATGTATGTATGTATGTATGTATGTATGTATGTATGTATGTATGTATGTATGTATGTATGTATGTATGTATGTATGTATGTATGTATGTATGTATGTATGTATGTATGTATGTATGTATGTATGTATGTATGTATGTATGTATGTATGTATGTATGTATGTATGTATGTATGTATGTATGTATGTATGTATGTATGTATGTATGTATGTATGTATGTATGTATGTATGTATGTATGTATGTATGTATGTATGTATGTATGTATGTATGTATGTATGTATGTAATGTATGTATGTATGTATGTATGTATGTATGTATGTATGTATGTATGTATGTATGTATGTATGTATGTATGTATGTATGTATGTATGTAATGTATGTATGTATGTATGTATGTATGTATGTATGTATGTATGTATGTATGTATGTATGTATGTATGTATGTATGTATGTATGTATGTATGTATGTATGTATGTAATGTAATGTATGTAATGTAATGTAATGTAATGTAATGTAATGTAATGTAATGTAATGTAATGTAATGTAATGTAATGTAATGTATGTATGTATGTATGTATGTATGTATGTATGTATGTATGTATGTATGTATGTATGTATGTATGTATGTATGTATGTATGTATGTATGTATGTATGTATGTATGTATGTATGTATGTATGTATGTGTATGTATGTATGTATGTATGTATGTATGTATGTATGTATGTATGTATGTATGTATGTATGTATGTATGTATGTATGTATGTATGTATGTATGTATGTATGTATGTATGTATGTATGTATGTATGTATGTATGTATGTATGTATGTATGTATGTATGTAATGTATGTATGTATGTATGTATGTATGTATGTATGTATGTATGTATGTATGTATGTATGTATGTATGTATGTATGTATGTATGTATGTATGTATGTATGTATGTATGTATGTATGTATGTATGTATGTATGTATGTATGTATGTATGTATGTATGTATGTATGTATGTATGTATGTATGTATGTATGTATGTATGTATGTATGTATGTATGTATGTATGTATGTAATGTATGTATGTATGTATGTATGTATGTATGTATGTATGTATGTATGTATGTATGTATGTATGTATGTATGTATGTATGTATGTATGTATGTATGTATGTATGTATGTATGTAATGTAATGTAATGTAATGTAATGTAATGTAATGTAATGTAATGTAATGTATGTATGTATGTATGTATGTAATGTATGTATGTATGTATGTATGTATGTATGTATGTATGTATGTATGTATGTATGTATGTATGTATGTATGTATGTATGTATGTATGTATGTATGTATGTATGTATGTATGTATGTATGTATGTATGTATGTATGTATGTATGTATGTATGTATGTATGTATGTATGTATGTATGTATGTATGTATGTATGTATGTATGTATGTATGTATGTATGTATGTATGTATGTATGTATGTATGTATGTATGTATGTATGTATGTATGTATGTATGTATGTATGTATGTAATGTATGTATGTATGTATGTATGTATGTATGTATGTATGTATGTATGTATGTATGTATGTATGTATGTATGTATGTATGTATGTATGTATGTATGTATGTATGTATGTATGTATGTATGTATGTATGTATGTATGTATGTATGTATGTATGTATGTATGTATGTATGTATGTATGTATGTATGTATGTATGTATGTATGTATGTATGTATGTATGTATGTATGTATGTATGTATGTATGTATGTATGTATGTATGTATGTATGTATGTATGTATGTATGTATGTATGTATGTATGTATGTATGTATGTATGTCTGTGCATGCATGTATGTATGTATGCATGTATGTATGTATGCATGTATGCGTATGTGAGTATGTAAGTAAGTAAGTAAGTAAGTAAGTAAGTAAGTAAGTAATGTAAGTAAGTAAGTGTAATGTAATGTATGTATGTGTATGTATGTAATGTAATGTATATGTGTGCATGCATGCATGCATGCATGCATGCATGCTTACATACATGTATGCATGTATGTATGTATGTAATGTATGTATGTATGTAATGTATGTAATGTCATGTAATGTATGTAATGTAATGTAATGTAATGTAATGTACTGTATGTATGTATGTATGTATGTATGTATGTATCCTTGCACTTCCCCTTTGCTCCCCAGTATTTCCCGCAAAAAAAACACGGTTTTTCCAGCGTTTTCGCAAAGAGGACGTCCAAAAACATTGAGTTTTTCCAGATTTTCGGCAAAAGGATGCAGGAAGCCCAAGCCAGCAAAAAAGCCGGCAGGGGGAATCGAGCCTGGGACCCCTGTTTTGCGACACCGGCTCCCCGAAGACTACGTTTAGTGGAACGTCATCAAATTGCCGCGCGGTACGTGGGGGACCCCCCCCCCCCCCAAAAACCTACGTAATAGACGTCGGGCGGGGGGGGGTTAGGGGGGGGGTTATCCTCTATCCTCTAGTAAGTATCCGACACGCCGAGCAATGTCGGCGGATTTCTTTGTTTACTTGTTTCCTTGCTGGTTGGCTGGTTGGTTTTGCATTTTTGTTTGCTATGTTTTGCTTTGACTTGTTTTGGTTAGTCGATTCGCCCCACCCCTCCAGTGTTGCGCTTTTCTCTCTTTGATGGTACCGGGGCTGGGGGGAGGCCTTTTAAACTCAAGTCCCATAAAGGGCGCCCGTTTTTCCTGATGGCCACTTTCCGTACACCTCGGATTGGCGCGAGCGGTTCTTCAACTCCAGCGGGTGACTGTTGTTGAGGCTCAGTACTCTTTGGCAGTTTCGAAAGGAAGCGCAACGACTGTGGGAATGTTCAGGTGCTCCCAGGCAATACGAGGGGGTAATGGCCATGAAATTGTTCACCGGTTTGTGTCCCTGCAGAAAAAGTGCACAGCCAGTCCCCAAGATTTTGCTCCCATCCTTTGACCCCAGAAACCACCCTGTCGAGCCATGGTCCCCGTTTTTTTGTTTTTGTTTTCCTTTGGATCAAAAACTACAGGTCGTTTGCGGGCGTCGTTCTGGAGGTCACAGAAAAGAAGAGATCCTGTGGAAGGTTCCAGCAAAAGACCTGCTGTGGATGGCAACATCGCAGGAGGAGCCTAAGCCATGGACGGAGCTTCCGGATTTCACCTGGCGCCTCGTTCTGCCTTGCTCGAAGGGTGCCATTCGTGGATATTCTGGCGCCACTACCTCAACAAGATGTGGCCAGCGTGAACGGGCGCAATTGTTGGGCCCAAGTACTATAACCCCAGTTACAAATACACGTAGCTGGGCCCAAAGGCAGTGCTGCGTGGCCGTGGCCCATCCACTCCATGTTTAGAGCAGCCAGTCCTAAAAGTACAATTACCACCAGTCACGCCGAGCTTGTTTCAACCACCAGTTACACAATTGAGTGTGGGCCAGAATTTACCAGTTGGGTTTCCCATGTTTCATCCATCCCAACTGGTGTGAACTGGATTTTGTTCATCCAGGGTAATGTTGGGGAGTGAATAATAAAGGCCCCCCCCCCAAACAAAATGGGGGGGGGGTCAATAGAGGAAACCCTAAAAACAAAATGAGGGTCAGACCGGGTCTTCCCTAAGTAGCATTCCAGTAAGTATTGCTTAGAATTGGGTTAGATTGGTTTCGTATTCTTGCTGACTGGCTTAGTACTGCTTAGAATTGGTTTAGTATTGGTTTAGTATTCTGGTTTGGTTCAGTAGTTCTTTGGAAAGGAAACTTCCTTTTCTGGGGAGACTCAGTAGTTCTTTGGAAAGGAAAGCCCTTTTCCTTGCAGGCATCCCTGGCCCCAGTCCTAAAAAACTTTTCTCAATTAACTCCCCTTAAGCAAATCTCATTGTTGGCTTCCTGGGTGTTCCCTGTACTACCTACCCCCTTGAAAATTTGGCAGGGTGCAACTTTTAGTAAGGGCTGTCATAAAGAATTTGGGTGTTGGGGCCTCAGTTAAACTTCCTTTTCTTGGGAGACTCAGTAGTTCTTTGGAAGGGAAACTTCCTTTTCTTGAAAGACGCAGTAGTTCTTTGGAAAGGGAAGCCCTTTCCTTGCAGGCATCCCTGGCCCCAGTCCTAAACAACTTTTCTCAATTAACCCCCCTTAAACAAATCTCATTATTGGCTTCCTGGGTGTTCCCTGTACTACCCCCTTGAAAATTTGGCAGGGTGCAACTTTTAGTAATAGTAATAGTAAGGGCTGTCATAAAGGATTTGGGTGTTGGGGACCTCAGTTAAACTTCCTTTTCAGGGACTTCCATCATCATCTCCTTGTTTCTTGCGTCTGACAGGCAAGACACCGAAGGTGGAAAGGTAGGTTGGGGGGGGCGGGCGGGGCAGAGACAGACAGGAGTTGCACTGAACTAGGGAATAATTATCAAACTTTTTTTGGAACATTTTTTCCGGATTTTTTGCCCCTTTTGCTTTTCAGGGGTGTGAATAATTTTGTTTTTTTGTGTATTGACTCCCCATTTATTATTCGCAACCTAACATTATGCAGAACAAAAGACAACCGTGGCCCATTGGAAACTGGGGCCTCACTCAATGTACCCGCGAAGCCTGCGAGAAAGCCACGGGCGGGAGGCAAGCGCCGCCGCTTGAGCGTGCCAGAGTTGTACCGTCCACGCCTCGAATTCAGGTAGACACACAATCAGAGTAGGGAGTCTGGACATTGTTGACGTCGAGCCTTGCATCATGGTTTGCTTCGTTGTTTCCTTAAAACAGAAAGAACCCTTAAAACTCCAGAAGTGCTCTTGATTTTCTATTTTTCTTGAGGGGGCGGATCCGTAAGGTGCCCCTTTGTTCAACGCTTGGAGGACTGGGAGCCTAAAAAAAGGCACCCGCACAGAAAAGGGACAAGCGCGGAGTAGGGATGGCTGTCCATGTAGCTTTGGAATAGATATGTGCCATGATGAAAACAACCCTTTACTTGCAGTTAGCAAGAACGAACATCCACCTGGTAAGGATCCTAAATAACGCTTTTTGAATGATTCTCGCTAAGAGATGATCACAGGCCATATATTCGGAGTTTCGACCATGGCACGCATGGTCACCAGTGGCTTCATTTAATTATCATCTGACACTTCCATTGCTTTTCTTCCGAAAGGTAGGCTGATATGCAACCCAAAAGACCCAGTAATTAATGAAGACACCAGGTTGTCCATGCTTCTTGCAAGGAGACCTTTTGTCGGTTCCATGATCGTGGACGATTGCAGAACCATCATGAAGGATATGTTCTTGTCAATTCACTCCTGCAAATCCAACCTGAGATGTTTTGTCCGATCTTGGTCCTCGGATTGGGCTTCTTGCATTGAATTCTGAATCAGGTCGTGGATGCAACGCTGGTACCTGGTCCCTGAAAATCGTACGGTTCTCCGCACAATTTCCCCATTTGGTTCCGCATCACCCTCACATACCCACATCTACCGGGAATTGTGCCACCTACAGTCAGTCTGCAGCCGAAGTTAAGCATCATCAGCGCCGATTGGCAAAATGAGCTCACGACAGCTTCGCGATTCCTTTTGGTGAAGTATGGACAATTGTGCAGGTGGGATGTGTCAAGCAGCTGCGTTTCGTTACGAGTTGATGCCCATTTCATTTGTTTTTCAAGGGTCAAGAGGGGGCTCCTCAGATTTGTTCCTGGGTTGCGGGTTCGCCGAATCCCAAGTGAGCACGCGTTTGGAGCCCCCTGAAGAGAAAGGGCCGTTGGTTTTCGCGTCCTACTTAGCCCACATATAGTACATGGACGTGTAGGAACCCTAACTACTGGCTTTGTCTTGAAGCAGTGCGATCCCCCAAGTTGATTTCGGTGTTTTCTTTTGGTGTCCCTTTGATCCCCAAAACAGAGCGAGTTTCCCCCCCGAAAGGAGACCTCCTGCTCTTGAGGCCGCGTGGCGGAGGACCCGCAGCTGGACTTGGATGCCTACCTAGCGCGGCTCTCACAGAATGGGTGCATCTTTGTGTGAGCCTCGGTACCCCTTTTGGGTTGATTTTCTTGGAGACCAAGAGGAAGACAACAACTTGTACCCCTTTTGGTTGATTGGACATGGACACCAAAAGGAAAACCGCATTTTTTCGGGGGGTCCAAGCTTAGAAGAGGAGCCACCCGTACTGTGAAGCTTGGGTCCAAAACCCGAACTTGTGGACATCAAAGCTCGGAGTGTCACCAACCACTGAAGGGGGCCGCCTATAAATTCACGGCCACATGGGTGATGTTAACTGGCGGACCCTTTAAGGTTTGAGAGACAGAGAGGAGATGTATTTTGTCATTTTTGTTTGGTTGAGAAGCATTATATGAGGCTGGTTGGAAGAGAGTTGGTCGTCTTCTTGTTGGGTTTTCCCCTCAACCAGTATGTCTCGCCACGAGTGAGAGACCCATGGATTGCTTGCGCACTGGGAAGCCCGCGCGCGCATTGCGACCGGTCTCCATCAAAGGCCATACACCCTCTTGAAGGTTGCAACATAGGCTCTAAGCGCCCACCATGGGGATATGGGTGGGGGGGGGGGGTGCTCGGGTAGTTTTCGTTCGGGCTCTCCCTTCCGAAAGGGAGGCGCAGCCACTTCCCCATTCGGTCCTTTCAACATGGACACCCCCACATCTCCCGTGCAGATGAAAGGGCCAGGTCGGTTTTAGCCCGTGAGGCATTTTCCCGGTGCCTGCCAAGGTGTACTCGCATTTGAGGAGATCTGGCTACCGGGTTACTCGCCCGGAGCCTCGGCAGCCAAAAGCCCGAGGTCTTGGCTCCCCGAGCCAAGACCTAGGCGAGTAGGTCCGCCAAGACGTTTCTCGCGTCTTGGCTTTCGGGGTACTGAGTTGTTCAGCGGCACCCTTTTTCCTTTTAATTTGGTGACTGCCCCACTAAAAATGAGTGGAGGAATAGGCGTTGGGGGTCCTGAAGTCAGGGATTCCTAAGCAACCGTTGGGGTCTATTCATCCTTGGTTTTCTTTGGACCGCTTTACCAGCTTTTTGCTCGTTACTCACTTGGGGATTTTTGCGGCCATTTGACTCCGCAGGTGGGTACCTTTTTGAGTTCGTTTGCAGAAGGCCATGACGGCCCATTTGGATGAGTCCACAGTTTTGACAAGCAAACAAACCACAATGAACTTTAAGAGTCGGACCCACCTGAAAAGTGGTTGGTGGACATGAATCCCCACTGAAGTCTGATATCCACCAGAGGGTCCTTTTGGACCCAAGATTCAGACCCACTTGCTTCCGAAATTCCAACCGCCACCTCCGGATCTTTCCGTTTGCGCCTTTCGTCAGAGAAAGGCGGCGGCTTTGGTTCCCTTGGGCATTCATCCCGCCCCAAGCGGTCTGCCACGGGCCACCGGGACCTCATCGAAGTGGCGGTATGGAAGGTCCCCCCTATGGCCCTACGGGAATCCAAGACGTTGAGCGGACTCCACCAAAAGACTTAAACTCCAGGAAGGTGGTCCCTTTGCCAGGGTCACTGGGCGCATGTTTTGTACATTCCTGCCAAAACCCGTAGCATGATGTGGGGGCGTCTTGTCTTGAGAGTATCCATTTTTTGTGGGGTTAAGGGGAAACCAAAAGGACAAACGAAGCCTCAGCCGGTGGGGGGGGGGGGGACGGGCGTCCCCTGTTTTAAGACACACCCATGTATTGTTTGAGTGAAGGTTCCCCTGAAATCTTTGCGGATTGGGAGTACCCCCGCGCAGCGCTTCCAGGGCCAACAAGACGAACATGGTCGCCATGCAGGGCAGGTCCAAGAGGGCAGAACGGGGGTCGTGCATTTTGCTTGATATGGCGTCTGGTTAAGAAAGTGCCATTCATTTGCATGGTTTTAAAGGCAAACTAAAGGGAAGCCTACCATTTTCAGGGTCCCCTACTTTGAGACACACTCATACTATGTCTTGCGCCAATACATGTACGCCCCTTCGCTCGAACTGCTTCGTCTCAGGTCCGGCAGAAGGGCCGGTCTCTCAGATGGTGGCACTCTGGGTGTCTATTTTGTTGGGGTACCATTTTGTCGGGGGTTCCATCTGGGTACCCTTCATCTTTCGTACACCAGAGTTGTCTGGGTGATAAATAGACCATAAGATACAATTTCACGAAAAGGAACCTCAAAGGGGATGGATGTTTGTTTATGTTCCCTGTTTAACCCCCCCCCCCTAGTTTTTGGTTTCTACTTTGTCCCATTTGGAGACGATTGGTTGGCACTTGGCGTATGCAGCCATGCGCCACCCGCTGTTTGGGGCACCCGCGGTAGTGTTCATGCGTCGGAACTGAATGGGTCAGCCCGCTAAACGAGGGCTTTGCGTTGACCATTTCCCTCCTTTTGGCCAGCCCCCTTTTTAAGAAGAGGAACTATTTTACTCGAGGACCCTTGGACATCATTTGCGTGATTGCTATTTCGACCCTCAAACCTGGTGTTGCCAATTGGGTCTTTCCAAAATGGGGGGAGCTTTGAAAGGAATGAGGCGGGGCTTTGAAGGCCAAATCAGCGAAGGCGTCCGCCTTTCTGAGAAAACACCCAAATTAAGATTCACGGGCGTGTCGCTTTTCAGGGGGACCCCCAAAATCGTGGATTTCCGTTTGGTTCTTCTTCAAAACCAGGCAAAGAAAAGGGGGTACCCTCAAAAAAGACAGACCCATGTTGATTCATGGCCAGTGAAACGCTTCAAGTTCCGATCGCTTGAGGCCTGTGAAGTCATGGGACCTGGGAGGCTGCCCTGCGAAGGTTCACGTGGTCCGGCCGCTGCCCAAAGCGAGCGGATGGGGTGGAGGCCAAGAAAAAATATGAACGCACCTCGTCCAAGTGGCCTTTTTTTTCTGGATTTCTCATAACCTGGTTTTCAGGAAAGGGGTTGAGGACCTGAGAAGAAAGGGGGGGTGCCAAAGGGGGGTTGAAGTTTGTGTTTTTTGATTCTCTGCTATGCGAGCTGATCCGGTTGGTGGCATGCAAACCGCATATTTGGGGGTTCAGCCTATTTTGAGACAAGCATGTTTGCAGGAAGGGACTACAAGGGCCTGGATAATTGGAAAAGTTCTTGGATACTTAAAGACCATACTTGGATATGAGGATAGGACTTTTGCACTATGAGTAATGTTATTTTATCCCCTTTCTGGGTATTTCGTTTGTACATGCAATCTTCGGTAATCTAAGATTTAATTGTACCCCACAGAGCAATTCTGATGATCTGGCCACTTGCACCGTCTTATGTGCGGGTTCCCCGTGAAGTGCTAAAAGCGTTCAAAGAGTGCATCAATCGGTGGAATCCACAGTTGTCGCCTCTAACGTGTTAGATATACTGAATCCTACCACGGCATCGCTGCATCCGCATCATAGCTTGAGGCCCGATGAGTGCGTGCTGGCAAGCCTCCGGGCAGCAGGCGGCTGCCGAAGATTCCGCGGGTTGCTCTTCTTCCAGCAGACGGTCTGTGGCAAATCAGTACAAGGGCTCGACCTCAGTGCAATCGTTGGGTCTGAGGGTTAGTCATGGCCCAAAGTTCCCATGCCCGGCCTGGCGGGTTTGGCTTCTTTTGGGTGTGTCTTACCGCCAAAGATGGTACTTTTTTTGGGGCTTCCCTTTCAAAACACTCCGAAAGGGGGTGCCCCAGAAAGCAAATCAAGCCCATGTTAAGCAGTTTCGAGATCTTCCATCTGGCTTTGGTGTAGTGCGTGATTCTTGTGCTTGATATGACAATTGCCTTTCGGATATTTTGATGGAAGCTATGCGCCACGGGATTTGTCCTTGAGCTTTCAACAGATCGGATCTTCACCCAGCAAGTCCCACTCAGTTTTGGGCTGGAAAGGGGCGCTACCTCATGGGAGAGAAAAGTTAGAAAGACACATCCCACTCACTATCAGGTACCTTTGAACACCTCTTTTCAACAAGTTACCGCACACCCGCCTCCTTGGCCTTTGGGTGCAATCACCTTTGCGCGTGAGCAACGTTTGCCTGGGCGTCGATGGCAAGCTGAAGACAAGAAAAATGGTTGAAGGGCGGCTTCCCAGGTTCGAACTCTGGAGAAGCTCTCAGAAAAAAGCGGATGAAGTCTGCCATCTCCTTTCATTAGTAAAGATTTCTACGGAACAACATCCGCCATTTTCTGAAGAGCAAGTTTTATTTCTTCCTTTTGGTTTCAGAGGCAATTGATTTCACTACTGGACACATATTTTGTTTCATTGTTGTTTTCAGGGGACTTCTTTCAGCAAATGGACTATATATATATACACATTCTCTATATCTCTTTTGGTTTGGAAAGCTACCGGACACAGTGGTGGTTAGTGCCCCCCCACAAGTTGTAGTGCGCCCCCGTTGGAGCAGTAAAATACATGCGGATTCCACTGGTTTCGATTGGTTTTAACGCCATTTACCAGAAAAAAAAAAACACATATTTTACCAAAAGGACACCTATGCTCACAACCTGGAAGATATGAATTTCCTATCTATATATTCTTCAAGCTTCCTTCACCCCCCCCCCCTTTGCCAGGGGCCACGGCTTCAACGTCTCTTGAGGAGAACCGACTCGTCGTTCATCGTCGCACGCCGGGAAAGGGTCCGCCGAAAACCCAAGCCGGCCTCAGGATGTCTCCTTGAGTTGGGGAATGCTTTAAGGGACGCGCAGGGACAACACTGTGGCTCTCTTCCCCTATGGGTGTGTCTTTTTTGGGGGGATTTGGACCCCCGAAAATGGTGGTTTTCCCCCTTAGAACCACGAAAAGGGGGCACCCTCAAAACAGACACACGCATTTGTTCCCTATCTTGGAATTGCTCCTGCATGTTTGATCATGGTCTAGTGCAGAAGGTTCTACTTTCGTCTGACTTTTGTCGTTTGTGCCAACGAGCGGAAGATGCCGATCTGTTCAGCATCAAAGGGTTCGCAGTGCAAACTCATGCCTCATCATTCATCCTCTCTAGCTCGGTCGGTTGTCCGTGTTTTTCAGCACTCGTCCTCTCTAGCTCGGCCCTTTGTCGGTGGATTCGTTACGGGTCCTTTATTGGGGGGAAGCACCCAACAGTGTAGTTTAGTGCATGGCCATGTCAACGGCTTTCTCTTGGTAGACAGTGCAATGTGTGGGAGGGACATGTTTGCCCCTGAAGTCATTGGTTTGGCAGGACCCCTGTGACATATCATAGGCTTGGGCCCAAGTTGTGCCTGGGCCTGAGATTCATCCCAATGGGTAAGCCCCACGTGGGTGCCAACAGTACGCGGTCATTCCTCTCAGTGGCCGAATGGCGGTGCCACAGATTCCCAGACTGCACTTGCTGCCCGGGGATGCTTAGGCATTGCCGCCTGATGAAGTTGGTACATTCAAGAATGGATGCTCTCCAAAATGGTTGGCACAAATCCCCATGTGAGTGATGTCCACCAAAAGGCCAATTTCCACTAAAAGTTAACACCCAGATTTGGCAAGGTTTTCCACTTTGCCAATCATGTGGTCAGACTCCCAAGGGTTTATTCACCTTCTTCAAATCTGAATTCACACGCGTCACATGGCAAACCCCCAAATGCTTAACTTGCATTTCCTTTAAACCAACACCCAAAAAGGGTATGTCCTTTCAGTTTCTCCTTAAAACGACCCAAGAATTCCGGACAACGAAAAGCACACCCCTGCCGGTGACCGACCAACCGGGCCCGCCCGTTTTGGCAGGAGCCGCTGGGCGTCGCGGTGGCCATGTGCGCCAAGGGCAGCCCCTGCTTCCTGGAGCTTGCGAGGCCGGCACCGACACCGCGCGCCACGCGCGCCACGCGCGCGACGCGGGGGAGGTTTGGGGGAAGCGGGGCCAAGTCGAAACGAGACGGGTTCCTTCCGAGAAAGAGCCCCGACATCATTTGGGTGGCTCGTCTTTTTTTTAGGCCCAAAAGGTTTTTCCTGTCGATTTTCCTTTCAAACCACCAACACACCCATTTGCACCAAGGGAACGTTGGCGTTCAACTTGGGTTAGTTAATATGGGGTCGATTTGCAGATTATGGTGGTTATGTCCAGGTAGGTTGTCCAAGTAGGTTGTCAAAGGGGGATCAATTAGAAGATGATGGTGGTTATTTGTCCAAGTAGGTTGACAATTATTCGTGCATGACGTTCCCTCGGCCAAGTTTTCCTTTCCTCATTTGGTGAGACGCGAGGCCGCTGCTTCCGGGCGATCCGGGCGATCCGGAACCAGGCGACACGGGCGCCTTGGGAGGGAGAGGGAGACACAGTGGCCCCACTGAGAGGCATGTTTTTTTTTCAACCTCTGTAATAGCTTTAAGTAGCTTTTCGCCGTCTCCTTCACCCCTTTCACTTTTTGCAGGGGTCTAAGTCTTGCCCTGGAGCAAGATATATATACATATATATGCTCACCCCCCCCCCCCCCCAGGGCCTACCTTTCCACTTCAAAATGTACAAAACCCTCTTATTTTTAAAGACAGGGGGTGTGAGCATATATACGCAAGAGGTGTGCTGTTGCTGCATATTTTTTTGTGGGTGACAAGTCATGTTGAGTAACAACAGCAAAGAGTTTATAAACTTACAAGACAGTTTATAAACCATGTCAAGGGTTTGACGGTTTCCCTGCAACAAGGGCAGGGGGGGGTCAGAACTCTTTACGGGGGGGGTACTGAGAAGTCTTTACAAAGTTGGCTGAGTCACACCTCACTGCTAAGACCCCTTCCCCCCAAGACTTCCAACCACCCCCCCCCCCTCCCCCCCAAGACTTCCAACCAACCCCCCCCCCCATCCTTCAACGATACCATGAACACTTCGTAGGGTGTTGTTGCCTTGACGCGGGAAACTCGTCAAACACTCAATAAGGTTTATAAACTTTCCTGAAAGTTTATAAACCTTCTGTAGGCTTATTGCGTAGCAAGTGGAGACTGTTGTTTGGGAAAAAAGGACACTCATTTGAGGCCTTGTTTGATGTGGTTTGGGCATGTGGTCCTAAAAGGTTGATGATTGTGTGTGGGTGTGTCATCACTGCTGCACTGTTATATCAAAGGCTGTCCATTCGGTCCAAGGGAACACAATCTGAGCAACTGCTGCAAAACACTCTGTTTTACAGCATTTTGTTGGATCTCTAATCCCTTGAAATATCCAAACACCTGAAACCTAGAATCTGGAGATCCGAATCCTTGAGATGTGTAATGTTGGATTCTCCAAGCCTCATAATTTGGAGCCTGGAGTACTCCAACACGAATTGAATTGGAATGTTGAAGGGAAAACTGTTGTTTGGGGAAAACAATCTTCGGTCCAAGGGAACACAATCTCAGCAACTGCTGCAAAACACTGTGTTTTACAGCATTTTGTTGGATCTCTAATCCCTTGAAATGTCCAATTTGAAACACCTGAAACCTAGAATCTGGAGATCAGAATCCTTGAGATGTCTAATGTTGGATTCTCCAAGCCTCATAATTTGGAGCCTGGAGTCCAACATATCCAAGTACACATTCCTTTCCAAATACGATTTTGATCCGAATTGAATTTGCATATTGAATATAATTTAGTAAGCACATAGTTCACCACCATTCATAATTCACCATAATGTCTATATTAGATCAGAATTTGAACAGGAATACCTTTCCAAACAAGGAAAATATGATTGCAGTAGAATCCAAATATACTTTAATGCAGACAGAATTCAATTAGCTTTTGAACATAATAATTTAATCAAGAATCCATCCCCAAATACAGCTTGAATTGGAATATAGCTTATTCTGGAAAGAAATCACTTGGCCTTTGCAATCAAATTTTATTGGTAACTCATTCCCAAATATGATTTAGCTTAAATGTGGCTAAACAAATAAAGGGCACATATCCCCAGACTCCCAAACTTGGTCTGGAGATGTGTTTGGCATGTGCCAGAGCTTTCATTTTCAGGAGATTTTGTGCTTTTGGGTCTGTGCAGGTTGCAGAGCTCAAAGCTGCCAAAAACATCATTTTTTCAATGTTTTTCCCTGGTGTACTCAAAACCACTGTAAAAACCAGTGATTCAATCAAAGCCAGGCTCGAATCTGAAAACGGAATCCGTTTTCGCTGTGCTGCCTTTCAAGCCTCAAATAATCAGACATTTGCTGTCACATAGAAGGTAAAACAAACACCAAAAACACTGTATTTTACAGTGTTTTCAGGCATCTGCAAGAAAGAGGCACACAGAGTAGAGTTGACACCTTCAACTAGAAGAGGGCAAAGGTAGGCCCTGGGGGGGGGGGCAACCATATATATATATATAGACTCTTGGACGGTCTGGGCTTTCCCAACAAACTTGATCTCCATTTTGGAGGATTTAGCTAGCTCCCAGATTATCTACGTTGGGCGTTACAGTGCTGATGGTTATTCCTTTGTGCTTTTTGGGCGTGGAAAAACAAGCAAGGAGAAAATCCGACATGGCCCCACAATATGTCCAATGCTTTGGCTTTCTTTGCTAAATCTCGTCCCAAGTCCCAAGAGAAATCCACTCTTAGTTGGATCCACGAGCTCACCGATCCGGGGTAAACGAGCTCGGGCCCCGTGATGCAAGCTCCTGAACAAAAAGGGGCGATCAGATACTCAGTAAGTGGATAACAGCCAAGGTGATAAACCACCGAAGGGAGGCCTACCACGGCTTAAGTGGGTTACATCCATGGTGACTACCCACTTGCTACGTACCCCTTCTTGGTTGTGCCACTAGGACATCCTTGTCGTTTGGTTGCCACCCTGTCTCACGGCAGACAACATGAATCGGTGCTCCACTTGTCGCCAGGATGCAGCGCTGAGGCTCGTTTTTGGCCTCGGCTTCGTCCTTTTGGTCTCGGTTTTGGTCGCAAAGGAACGCTGCGAGAGGTTCGGCAAAATATGGGGCTTGGCCGGGGTGCCCTTTTTTGGGGGGGAACCCGGTCTGGGTCGATTGTCATAAGAAACCAAAGGAAAGCCACCTATTCTGGGGGTAATCCGTGTCTCAAAATGCGGCCTCCAGGTGGTCTTGAGTTTTGAAGAATCAACGAGTTTGGGGGATGATAGCTCTACAAAACCTCTTGAAAGGAAGTCTTTGCAGGTGCGTAAGTCTTCTTGGGAGGAACAGCCCAAGGTGTCTTTGGAATTTTACTTAATCTTGCTCTTGGCACGATCTCTGAACAGGATCTCTTGGTAGGATCTTTTACAACAATTTGTGCACAGAATCCTTGAGAGGGTCTGCGCGAGACCTCCGGAGAGGATCTTCTGTACAAAGGACCACCAAAAAATATATCCCGGAGGATCTTCACAGGATCTTTGCAGGATCTCTGCGCAAGATGTCTGAGCAGGGTCCCTTGGCAAGATTTGTGTACAAGATGCAAGTTTCTCTGTTGAAGCTCTGTAGGAGCATCCCCTACAAGATCACTTAGATGTGGGAAATCTTTCCAGGTCCTGCGCAAGAGCTCTTTAAAGGATCCCTGTGGAGAACCAGCGCAAGATATCTTTGGGAGGGTGCAGGATCTCTGCGCAAGATCTCTTGATAGGATGTCTTGGCAAGATTTGTGTGCAGGATCTCGGTATAGGTGCAGGACGCACGAGAGGATCCATTTTTTTCAAAGTTCTCTGTCAGGGCTTACAAGCTCTGTCTTTGCAGGCCCTGTGCTGCGAAGTTTGTACTTTGCCACAGCGAGAGCGATGCCTGCCACCTGAGGCAGCAGAGGGCTCGCTTTCGATGTTCAGAATTCGCACCGCGCCACACCCGCACAAAGTCTGCAGAGGGTTCACAACGATCCGTCCCACCCAAAGACCGCAGACCTGCACCGTGCCACAGCGAAGGCAATCCGACCCAAGCCAAGTTTTGCAGAGGGTGCGCTTGTGATGTTCATAGCTGACAAGATGCCCACAGCAAGAGCGATTCGACCCACCCAAAGTCCGTAAAGGGTTCACCCCCCGACCAACCGTTCTCGGAATTTGCACGTCGCCACAGCGAGAGCACACCCTCAAAACACACCAATCCCTACCTACTGCTTTGCGCGAGCTTGCGCAGTCGAAATGCAAACGAGCATCTCACAAGGGAACTTTTGCGCGAGCCTGCGCAGCCGAAAATTTGCAGCCCAGATCCCGTCAATGACTTTGCGCGAGCTTGCGCAGTCGAAATGCAGTTCAAGATGTGCAAAGTCACAATTGTACGTAAACACCATCAAAAACGCTGCAGACCCAATCGAGCACCCTGATCTAACCTTGGCCCTTTACCCTTGCCGTAAGAACCCCTTAGTGTAGACACATTGTTTGAGGTCAGAATACCTGGTTGCATACATTGAGAGCCTATCCAAATGATGACCCCGCCACCAAGAAAGACGCATCCGATTTTTTCCTCAAGCGCTATTTTAGCCGAGGCTTTCAAACATGGACACTCTGGGCAACGCTACTATCAAACAACATGTGGGTGCTGGCAGACTCCTCAGAATTGCTTTGCCGTTGCTTCCCCCTTACAAAACATCAACGAAAGGATGCCCAATGTTGGCAAGGAAGAGGAAGTGTCTCGAGATGACTCAGCGTCAAAAAAGGTGAGAACCGTCACATTTTGGGTTCCCCTGAGTACCACCCCAAAATCAGCACCCCAAAGGAAGCTCAACACTCAATGGGCCAAAAACGTACCCTTCCACTAAAATGCAACCCACCAGAAGCTCTAATGAAAGGAATATGGTCCAAACCAGGACCCCTTCAGTCAGGTTGTTAGTGGGCAGGAGTCCAGGAGGGTACCCCTTGTTGCTTCACCCCAGGAGGCCGCAGCTCCAGCTGTTGCCCCGCCCGCTCCCCCGCCAGAAGAGGAGGCAGGAGGAATCCTGCTGACACAAACTCGGGCCCCAGGACGATCATTTCTTCACAGTTCTTGGCACGTGTTTTAGTTGTTTGGTTCTCTTCATTTTTAGTAGGTGGCTATGGTGGCTGCAAAAAACAGCGGCTTTTGCCACCATACCAACAAAAATTGTGAAGCTTCTGAGTTCGTGAAAGGTTGGCGAGCTGTGCGCCTCCCGTTTTGCGAGCCCTTTTCCGGGGTTCCGATATATCAATTTCCGAATCGATATCAACAGCTTAAGACGAGGCCAGCTGGGGCTCACATTCGCGATTGCTTTGCGAACACATTGCCCAAGGTGGAGTTGGGGGAAAATCACATGGATTCCGGATTTTGGCCAAAATGTTGAATTCCAGCAAACAATCAAGTTGAACTTGTTGCCTTTCATGGTCAAAAACCAAAAGCCTGTGTTGATGCCCTTGTCGAGAATAGTTCAATCAGCCAAAAGGAGTTCGTTTAAAAACAAACTCGACCTGCTTCTGAGTCATAGCGAGCTCACCTGTAAAACGGGCTCACTTTCGGTGCCGTTAATTCAGGTTGGTCAAATTCGAGGGGGCCTTCTTAGTTTTGTTTGTGTTTTCAAAGATGTGAAACTAAAGGGGGCCGTTTTAGCTTTTTGTTTTCAAGACAATTTTACTCGAAACGCCGACCATCCACAAGCCGCTTGCTAGCCACTGCCCCAGTGACCACACGAAGTGTGTACTTGCCTTGGCGGTGAGGAACCGCTTGTTTGTGTCAAGTAGGGGGGACCCGCAACAAGGGCTAGTTGTTTGTTTTGGCTTCTATGGCTTCCCTTAAACCAGCCAGAAAGGGTACTGCAGGGCAATGGGCTACTGCCATGTGCCCGAGGCAGGGAAAAGTGTCGGACAACGTGGCCATTGCCCGATGGCAGGCACAAAGGAACGCCAGCAAAATGTCAGGTGAACTGACTCAAATAGTTAAACTTCTTGCTGGTGCTCAGTAGGGAATGGGGGAATGAACTCAGGGGTCCCCTGAAAGGAAACTAGTTGGATGCTTTTTCTTCGGGGTCATTCTCATTCCCTGCATCTCTCGCAGCAAGTACAGGACTCACCTTTTTCAGACGAATCTAGGATCTGGAGGACCAGCACGAAGTCAACTTTTTCTTTGGGGTTGAACCCTCGCAAGACTTGGGTTTCACCATTTGCGTCACGACTCGGCTTCCGCCTTTCCAGGCCCATTTAGCGCCTTCGGCCCGCTACGCCGCGATGCTACAGCGCGTAGCGAGCCTGGCGCGGACCCTAAATCGGGGGTGGGGTAGTTGAGCAGCGAACCTTGTGAGCAGCGAATCTTGTGGGATTCGAAGATGGGTGTGGCTCAAAAGTAAACAGGGGCAAACAGCGAGTTTTGGTCCCTGTTTCCACTTACCAGGGTTCCATTTTGGTACCGGTTTTTGAGCCACAGCCAGGTATGAGGGTTCACTTTTATGTTCCATCTGTTTTGACCTTATCTCTCCATTTCAGGGTTCGCTACATGTGGACTCAAAGATGTTTTGCGCTTGGCTGGGTACTGGCTAAGGCCCCGACTGTTTTTGGTGTCACTCAGAAACGCCCTTTCAGGGTTCTTCTTTATTCTTTGCCTTTGCTGGGGGTTCTCCATTGGAGGGCTTATGATGACCCGCAAGGGGTCTTCAGGTTTGGGTGACTTCACTCAGATGCACGTAACCACTAAGAACCCACCAATTTTCAACCACAAAAGGGGGTGAGAAGGGTGTGTCCTTCTTCATCCCGCCCTTTGCGGAGTTGTTTAGAAGGGAGAACCAGAAGGACCCCTTCTTCCTTGCAGACACATGTCCATTTGTCCCTTGGGGACTGGAGGGTTGAGCTGACACGAAGGAAGCGCCTCTCGCATTTGTTCGCATTTCAGGTCGCATTCTTGTCACTTGTTGTTTCCAGTTTCCCGGGTTTGGGACATTAGTCATTATCTGTAGAAAAAACACAAAAGCAAAGAGCATTGGAAGGGCACGCGACAATTTGTTTTTGGAAACAAAAGGACACGCCGCGCTCTTCTAGCATGAAATGACGGCCAGTGGAAATCATCTGCTGCTTTGCTGCTATGAGTGATGAGACAATTGCCCCTAGGCTAGCCGCCTCAGAGCCTTCGGACAATCGAGGACAGCCTCTTCATTGGAATTTGTGGATTCCCTTCTTTGGTTGCGGGGGAGACCAACTACTAACTGTTTATCCACAGCTTGGGAAAGTATACGCGGGCTTGCGAGTCACCGGGGATGTTTGGGAATCGATGGGGCTCAACAGTAGATTCTTGCCTTGCCTGCAAGGAGACACAGGTGGGTGTGTCTGTTTTAGAGACCTGTGGTCCTTTTTTTGGGGTTCCCTTCAACCCCCCCCAAAATGCCAAAAGGGTCACCTCACAAAAAGACACAATGCATTTTCCTTCGGAGAACCATCCATTTGTTCTGGCATAGAAGGCAACACCAGTCGGGGCGTTTGCTCCCTTCATTAAATCTTAGAAAGCAGGGACATAACTTTTCATTCGGGTGTGTCTCAAAATCGAGGTGCCCCCAAAATGGCTAAGGTTCTCCTGTTGGTGTTGGGGGTACGCCCAAAAACATAGACCCACTCCTCCTAGATGGACGGTTTTCCCTTTGGGCCAAGCGATTCTGGCACCTTGTTGGGTTGGGTCTTTGGACTTTAATTTTGAGGGACACAGGTCGGATTTTCCATTGGGCCCTGTATTTTGCAAGAGGATTGGGCAAAGAAATCCATTGTTTTCGGATTTTCGGCAAAAAATGTTGAAAGCTTGTTTGCCGAGGGCCCTCTCCACAAGGGTGTGTTTTCAGGGATGGGCTTTGGAATGAAGATTACAACAGGCTCACTGCCCTGTCTTCCAGAAAGGGTCTGTGCACTTCATGTTTGTCGGTGGGAGGGTATTTAGATGGAACAGGTGGGGCGTTTTTGCGTTTGATTGCCTAGCCTGCCAGCCCGCATGGCCACTGGATCAAGCTGCACTATGCACGTGCAAAAGGATTTGTTGCACCACAAACGCAAGCCAGAAACCAGGCGCCCACAGACCATGTTGGCATCTTCGTTGTTCAACGATAGGACATGCTGAACAGAAAAAGCGACTTGCGACGTGCGAGCTTCAGCCGTATCACAAGCCTTTTGGCTAAGCAGAGGCACCTTCGCGCGCTTTTTTGCTGCGCGCCCTGTTTGCGCGGGTGGGAGCTATGGGGGAGGCCGGGCGCAAATTGCGAAGCCTTGTGTCGACTTGAAGATGAAGGGATCCGGGATCCCCTCAATGTGGGTAGGCTCACCGATTTTTGTGTTAGACCGAACTTGGTGAAGGTCGGTCCTTTCGGGGATTGCAACTTATTTATCTAGTTTGGGGCACTCTTCGAAAGCGTGATCTCCCCGTTCGTTTCACCCATCCTTCGTTTCAGCAGCCACCCAAACATCCGAGTTTTCGTTCTCCGAGATTCTGAAGATGACGGGTCCCTCGAAATGGCGGGCAGCTGGAACTACCTGGAGTCTCCGTGGCCATGGACAAAATGGGATCATGGAATTCCCCATTTCTGAAGAGGTACTGCAGCGTCAAGCCACGCTCCCTCAGTTGAACAGCCTTACTCCTTTCTCATGTTCGAACGCTTTCCGAGTCCCTGTCCAGCAAAGGTAATTTGGCTGGGGCGAGTCCCCGTCTTGAAATGGAACCCTTCGGGTGTTTTGAAGGGAAACCAACAGGAAACCACCTTTTTGATTCTTATTTTGAGGGAAACCACCCTTGTTTAGGTTTCCTCAATGGGCAACCAGCTTTTTCGGAGAGATTTCACGTGTGCGTTTTGTGAAACATCTCTTTTCGCCTTTTGGGGTGCTGTAAGGTGTTTTGTTTCGCATGTTTCAACAAGGGGCGGTTTGAACCCTGGTTCCACGCGTTTGGTCGGGGAGTCTTTTGGGAGATGTGACCTTGTGATCTCGCGTTGTCTCCGCAGGGGCAGGTTGTGTGCGTGTGTGTGCGTGTGTTTGTTCCAGGGTTCCCCTTGTTGGGGCACACCCAAGGAAATCCACCACGTGTTGTGTGTGTGTGTGGGTGTGTGTGTGTGTGTGTGTTTCTTTTCTTTCTTTTTTTTTGGGGGGGAGGGTCCCCTATTCAAAGAGATGCCGACTTGGGGCGAGTGAACCTTTGAGACCATGTTTGAATGCTGTTTCCCGGAACTGGTATGTAGCACCCAGTCGGAGATCTCGCGGCATCCGGCTTATGGGTCGCCGATCTGTCGCCAGGCCGCACACCTCAAGGGTCCAAGGCGGGTGTCCATCGCTGAACATGTGGAGCATTGCGAGTTAAGCGGCAAAACAGGTGGGACTCGGACTGAAGGGAAACCCCATTTTGGGGCTTCCGTATTTCATGTTGAGTCAAAGCCCCATGTAAGTTACAGGCTGTTTTCCTTGCTCGCTCCTTGCAAAAGGTCGGGAAGCAAGCGAATCCTAGCGGCAGGTTCTGGAGGGGCGGCGTCTCGGAGCTGGCTCTCGACGTAGATTCAGACGTGTTTGAACACAAAATGTAAGGGAATCCATTTGCTTCGGAACCTCAAAGGGATTCAAAGCATCCACAACAACTGGCTTCAAAGGCTAACTTTTTGCAGGTAGGTTAGTTAGCAAAGGCTCTCAAACTTTGTCAACTCAGTCAGGTTTATCCATGCGAGCAACGGTCAATGTTCACCGACGCCCACTGTAGCAAACGATCTGACATTTGACAAACATCCAATGTGCATATAGACCATGAATCATCAGTTGGTTATACTGCCGGTATATTCTATGTTGATTTTCCCAAAAACGCAGAAAATGGGGAAGGGCGTTGTGGGGTAGAGGGCCTTCCTATGTTTCTTGAGCTTGATCCCCATTCCTGGAAACCAGTTTCATTTTGGTGCACTGTCATTTGGTGCCCGTTCATGTTGCATGGAATTAACCCTGCAAACTTTCTGCAAGTCATCACAGAAACCCAAAATGCCCTCTTCGAGGAAACATCCTTTCTTTGGTTCACTCCGTTTTAGAGTTACTTCTGCAAGAAGCCCTCAAGGATTTTGACTTCAGAAATGCCAACCAACCCGACCTGCCCTGCCAGGCTTCTTCTCCTTCTGCTACCGTTGGCACGGGCGCAGGCGAAGCAGAGCGACGAGAGTCCTCGCTTTTTGGGGTCTCCAGGCATTTGAGGGGTTTTCCTTGAGGGCCGTCCAGTACTTAGAATGGGTCTCACGGGAAAACAATGTTCTGCTTCTTTGTTGCTACGTCAAGCCGACCGTAAATATGGGTGTGGCGTTGACTTCCTTGTGTGCAGGCTCCAAGGCAAGCCGAAACAGAAGTGCAGCCACTTTGAGGCGAACCTTGCCTTTGAGACCGATGCCCTGATCAGCGGCCACATCAAACAACTCCCCCAAGAAGTGTCTGGGGGTTGACCCATAGGGAAATGCTCTCGCAGGGGGCCAACCCCTTTGCTCTTTTCAAACGGGTTTCCAGGTCCTCTTGGCCGCCTTGTTGAATGTTGTCCGGTCACAGGAGCCGCACCAAACAAACCCGCAGCCATTTCATTTGCTTCCATTCCCAGGTTCGCGAGGGGTAGCAAGCAAGCATGGCAATTGGAGCTTCTCACTTCTTCCAAGCTGACCTTTTTTCTTTTGGGTCTTGCAGCTTTTAGGGAGCCATCTCTAGTCATCCCAGATGAATTCCTTAGGTCCCTCTCTTGGGCCGGACTCGTAGGTGTTGAACCTGGTGCTCTCGCGCTACATCGATTCAACATGTCCTGGCCTCAAGCCCCGCGAGCTGTTGGATTATTGGATCTAGCTTGGTGGAGATTTGGAAAGGACTTGTATATTCAAGTTATATTTGAACATAAAACACATGTTGGACAACTATGTCCGTACAAAGTTATATTCAAAATTCCAATTCTAGTTGAAGTAAAATCCTGTTTGGAAAGGGTCTCATATTGGGACATTTCGGAAGGCTCAGGGTCCAATTTATGAGGGTTTGGGGACCCACAATTGGAGATTTCGAGAACTTAAATCTCTAGATTCTAGATTTATTTCCCAAAAGGTACTAAAACCAGGGTCCATGGGGGGGTATACACATATATATATATATAAATATATGTATATATATGTATACGTATGCACAAGCGACTATGACTTTGAACGGGGAACCCTCTCAAAAGGGACTGGACTTAACCCCCCACCTAGATGATGCCCACCGAACGGTACCCCATGCACATACATACACATGTCATG